CAACACGAATGAGAACGCCTACACGATGGCGGCCAACGCGGTATTGCGGCTGATCCTGAACTACGGCGTGGACCCGGGGCGGATTGGTTTTCTCGGGCTCGGGACGGAAAGCTCCTCGGACAACTCCGCCGGCGCGATTATTATTAAAGGGATGGTGGACAAGAGCCTCGAGGTCCTGCGGCTGCCCCCGATCTCGCGGCATTGCGAGGTGCCGGAGTTCAAACACGCCTGCCTGGCCGGCGTGTACGCCATGGAGAGCGCGATTCGGTTTTGCGCGTCGGATGGGCGGGACCGGCTGGCGATTGTCGTGGCCTCGGATATCGCGGAGTACGCGCTGGGGTCGACCGGGGAGCAAACGCAAGGGGCCGGGGCCACCGCGCTTTTGGTCGAACGCGAGCCGAAACTCTTTGATGTGCAATTGCAATACGCCGGGTCGGCTTCGGACTACCGCGGGCCCGATTTTCGCAAACCGCACCGGCGGTATTTGATGAACCTCGCGGAGTACCGCGGGACGAACGCGGATGGGAAGCTCTCGGACTTTCCAGTTTTTTCCGGCCCCTATAGCACCTTGGTTTATCAGGAGGAGGTCATGGTCGCGGTGGAGCGAATGCTCGAGCGGCTTGGGGAGGCCCCTGGGAAGTATTACGACGAGGTCACCGCATTGTTTTTTCATCGGCCGTATAATATGATGCCGATTCAGGCGATGTCTTTTCTTTATACCCGCGCCCTCGCCCGGGCGACCTCGGATGAGCACATCTCCTACTTGAAAGAGCTTTGTCTGAAGGCCGGGGTGGAGCCCACGAGTGTGGTGGCCGAGCTCGACGCCTGCCCGAACTATTTCAAAGATATCGAATCGGGCAAGGAGCCGGTGGATGCCTTTCCAAATACCGGCAAAGTCGCGAAGGTGCTTCGTCGGGATGAGCGCTTTAGCAATCTCCTTGAGCAGAAGATGAGCCTTGGCAGCAAGACGATGGGTAATTTCGGGAATTTGTACACCGCCTCGCTGCCTTGCTGGATTGCCTCCGGGTTCGAGGAGGCCTATAAGGGAAAATTTGAGATCGCGGGGAAGCCGATGGTGATGGTGGGTTACGGCAGCGGGGATGCGAGTATGGCGATCCCAATCGTCCCTGTCGACGGTTGGGAAAAGGCCGCGGCAAAGATTAACGTTGAGGAGGCCTTGAGCAATAATATTAATATCACTAAGGAGCAGTATGAGGCACTCCACAAAGGTTCTCAGAAGGTTGATCTCGCGGAGGGAAAACGCAAGATGGAGTTCGTGATTGACCGGATGGGAATTCGAAACGAGGAGGCTTTTCAGGATATTGGTGTCGAGTATTATCGCTTTATTTCATAAACGAAAGTGTAATTTAAAATATATCACAAGGTGAGTTCATGCCTTGTTTTTTTTCTCCTCATGTGTTAGTTCTTGAGAACATTCACATTTTCACTAACCATATAACTGCATTTTTTTTTTTAGCGATGCTAATTCTTTTTTTCGCTAAGATAAAAACTAATTAGGGAAGTGAGTGAAATCAAGTCATAATGGCTGGGGTAATTATGATATAAAAAATATATTTTATATGAATGCAAACAGAATCTCAAATTATTTTAATTTTATTTGTATAAAAATTACTTATATGCAACTGCGAAAAGGAATACTGTATATTTATTTACCAAACATTCCAATAGTTATGTACTATATAATTTATTGTTATTATTGTTGAGTGGTTCAGGTTTTTATTACAGTGTATGTTTTATTATATTGATTTTTTTTTTTACAAATCTTACATGTATATATGCATGAAAATAGATTTTATGAGAGGAAATAAAAGACAGCTTATTATGTTTTCAATAAATGAACTTTAGAAAGGGGACTTTAAGAAATATTCTACATATAAAAGTTTCGATAAATAGGAAAAATGAAAGTGTAATGCCACAGTGATTATACTTTTTATTCATATTTTTCTTTTTTCCTGATAGCATAGTTGTCTTAGAACAAACAACAAAGGTACTCTATTCCTCTCTAAATGACGACTTTATTTAATCACAGGTATCACTCAGGGTACGTATGTGATTATTTATCGAAAATGAGAGTTAGGCTCGCTAGACTTTTTTTAAACCCATATCCTTTTTTTCCCCTTCTTATTTTAAATTCAGAAACCTGTTTAATTTAGGATTATACGCAATAGGTATCTCCTAGGTTATGGATCTCCAAGCACACCGAGCACACTGATCTTTTCCTTCTTTTTACCTTTTGCTTCCTAATATCTGGTTTATGGACACTGATTGCACATTGATTCCTCAACTTTCTGGAAATAATGCTTCAAAGTGTATTTAGTGATGTCGTATCTTTTGCAGTATATCTTCACGATGCTATCATCATTAAGCCTAGAGTGGTATACTTCTAGAACGTTTGATCGGTACATTGATTTGTATTGAGGACAACATCATAAAGAGCAGAAGACTCAGCTAACCAACAGAATATTGCCTTTGTCCTCAGGAAGGTGCTGAGGGAGATATGGAAGTTCGATTCATAGTTCTTTGCATGAGACTGATTACTTTCTCACTTATTTGGGAAGGATGTTATGCGGTTTGCATGGGCCTTGGGGTTTATTAGAGAAACGACATTAAGTGCTCGTTTGACTATTTCTATTTTTTATATCACACAGATATAATATATACCTATATATATATATATTATTATATTATTGTTGTGTATGTGTGTGCGGTGTAATAAAGGGAAAACAGTGTCGCTATG